GTCAAATAAATAAATAAAAAATCTTTAAAAAAAAAAAATTAACTTGAAATGGATTAAAGACTTAATCATAAAACCTGATACCATAAAACTCCTAGAAGAAAACACAGGGAAGAAGCTCCCTGACATTGGTCTTAGCAATGATTTTCTGGATATGACACCAAAAGATCAAGCAATAAAAGCAAAAATTGACAAGTGAGACTACATCAAATGAAAAAGCTTCTGCACAGCAAAAGCAACAATCAACAAAATGAAAAGGCAACTTACTGAATAGAAGAAAATATTTGCAAACTATAGACCAGATAAGGGGTTAATATCCAAAATATATAAAGAACATGTACAACTTAACAACAATGATAAAAAAACAAACAAGCAATCTGATTAAAAATGGGTAGAGGAAAAAAAATGAGCAGAGGACCTGAATAGACATTTTTCCAAAGAAGACATGCAGATGGCCAACATGTACACAAAAGGATGTTTAACATCACTCATCATCAGGGAAATACAAATCAAAACCACAATGAGCTATCACCCCATACTTATTAGAACAGCTATTACCAAGAAATCAAGAGTAATAAGTGTTGGCAAAGATGCAGAGAAAAAGGAACTTTTGTGTACTGTTGGTAGAAATGTAAATCAGTGCACCCACTATGGAAAACAGCATGGAGATTCCTCAAAAAATTAAAATTAGGACTACCATATGATTCAGAAACTCCATTTCTGGGTATATACCCAAAGGAAATGAAAACAGGTTATTGAAAAGATATCTGCACTCTTATGTTTATTGCAGCATTATTCACAATAGTCAAGATATGCAAACAACCTAAGCGTCCATCAACAGATGAATGGATAAAGAAGATGCAGTGGGCACACACACACACACACACAAACACACAGGAATATTATTCAGCCATGAGAAAGAAGGAAATTCTGCCATTATGGACCTTAATTAAGGGCATTATGCTAAGTGAGATAAGTCAGACAGAGAAAGACAAATGCTGTATGATATCACTTACATGTGGAATCTAGAAAAAGCTGAACTTATAAAAACAGAGTAGAATGGTGGTTACCAGGGGCTGGGGATGGGGGAACTGGAGAGATGCTGTTTAATGGTACAAGTTTGCAACTAGTAGATATATAAGTTCTGGGGATCTAATGCACAGCATAGTGATTATTGCAACAATACTATACTGTAAACCTCATAGTTGCTAAGAGAATGGATCTCAATTGTTCTCACCACAAAAAAAGAAATTATAATTATGTGAAGTGATGGAAGTGTTAACTAATGCTATGGTAATAATCACATTGTAGCATATAATGTATCAATGTAATATATAATGTATAATGTTTAAAAAATAAAGTTGCTATAATTCAGCAAACTTATTTGGTATCATGTATATAACACAGAGAATGATCACAACCAGATGTTTTACAGGTAAAATATTATGCAGTCACTTCCAAATCTAGTGACAAAGGTTGACCTGCTCACTTGCTGACATTCAGCTCTTATCTGCTAACATTTCAGCAGTCCAGCCCAAGTCAATTACAGCAGAAAAAAAAGTTTCATAAATCGAAAACAACACACAAAAGAAAAGCCATGTTCATAAACAAGATGTGTGGGCCAAATGAGTTATTTCATTTTAAGCACTTACGTTTTCTGTGGTTCTCACAATAAATGTGACCAATAAAAAGATTGCAGATGTAAGCAGGGTAATTTAAGATGGGGCTGGAGTTGGCCACACCCAGGTTTGAATTCTGATTCTACCACTAAGCAACTGGGACCTTGGAAAAGTTGCTTAACTCCCTTAGGTCTGTTTGCTCAGCTCTAAATCTCTGGTAACAACACCTTTCTCATATTGCTAGTGTGAGGACAAAATGTAAACTGTGTGCTTAATAAGTGGTAGCTGTTTTATTGTAATTATTGTCACAGAAATTCTGCTACGTAGCACTTTGCCATCCTAAATTAATTTTTGTACTCGTATTTCTTTTTTGAGCTTCTTCAAAAATACTTTTACATGCATCATTTTATTTGAATCTCATAACTATACGTGAGATAGAAGAGGCATGATTAATCTCACTAGAAAACCAAGATCAATGCTTTGCCTCAGTCATCCAGCATCTGATAAAGTAAAGTTGGGACAAGAATCCACGTCTTATCCTTATCTTCAAGAGCAATCCTCCAATCTGGTCTCACAGCAACAGGAGGGAGCTTTTAAAAGCACCACTTGATCATGACACCCCCTGCCTTCTTGTCCCTTTCCCCTCTCCTTCTTCTCTTCCCCCCCTACCCCCACCCCCCTTTCTCTCCCTCTCCTTTGAAGTTTCTAGTTTGGGACTGGTCCAGGAAAAAAAAAAGTCCTGACTTTAGCTCAACCGGGTGAATCTCCACATAGGACAAGAAAACCTACAGTCCTGGGACCTCGGTCCAGAGAAACACCAGAAAGAAGGAAAGAACAGGTGAACAACAACCGAACTGAACTCTAAGTGAATACTTGCCAGCTCTCTCTGGCCTCCTTCCTTCTACTTAACTCTCATTCTGCTCTGAAAATGTCACAGGGCCTTCCACTTAAAATGCCTCTGCCAGTAAACAGAAAGCAAAATAGCAGAAGGAAATTCTTTGGGCAAAAACATTTATACTCATTTTCTTGTCAAAAATGTTGTGGGCAGGAAGTATGAGAAGAAAATACAGAAATACCTGAGGCATTGCAACTATGCATCTAATATCCTAATATAAATTTGCAGTAGGTCAATGATGTCTCAACATTTTCAGAGTTGGAACATTATCCTTTATGAGATTCATACTGTTTTAAAAATTAAATTCAATTAAATCTATTTGAATAACCCTGACCCCTCTTTAGCTGATGTTACAAGACCACCACTGCTTTATACTGAGATGAAAAAACTTGAAGGTTTCAAAGTAGTATAATTGTCTGTGATTCAGGCATTATGAGGTTGGCATTTATCAGGTCACTTTTATCCACAGAGGAAGCAGGTCGGCATCTGTATTATGTGATACATGGCTATGTTGAGGGGACAATTGCCCCTCAAAACCCATTTCTCCCTCTCCTCCTGTCACTAATGCCTTCAATTTCATGATTCAAGGTTAATTTTTTTAGGGAAGCAATATTGTTTAGTACCACCTTTACAAAACAAAGATATAAACACTTGTAAAATGCGTTGCTATTTTATGTGCCACTAAGAAAGAAAAAAAACCAATGCCAATTATAATAAATATCATTAGTGTAAGAGGCATCCCAATTTCAGAGACACTGGACTATGAAAAATGTGTGTGTTAAACTCTAGAAAATGCAGTAATTAAGAGCACGGACCTTAATATCAAATACATCTGGATGGACATAGTGATTCTGCCATTTGATAGATGGGTTGCCTTGGGGAAGTTACTTATCTGAACTTCTACCTTCTCCTCCATGAAATTAAAATATTAATATACACCTCCTTAGTTATCAAGAATTACCTAAAGTGAGGTATAAAAATATGCTTAGTGCAGAGCCCAGCCCTTAGTTAGGGATCCAAAATGAAAACTACAGTAATTACAATAGGATTCCTTACTTCCAATGAGCTTGTGAGATTTGAGATAAAACAGATCTCCATAGGTCGAGGTATTTGACAAGGGGTTTGTTTGTGGAAGAGGAGATAAGACCAGAACTGGGAAACTGCCTGGGGAGGGAAGGCCTGGGGGTGGGGGAGAGCTGAATGTAGCAGAAGAGGGCAGAGGACACCAAAACCAAGCACTATTACCTCTTCAAACTTTTGAGCAGGATCACTTCTGGGTTCAGTTCAATTCTAACATCAAGAATACACTCCTATCCCCCCTCCAAAAAAAGAATACACTCATACCCTTAAAAACAATATGTTAAGCAAAAGAAGTCGGTCACAACCAAATGTTACACAATTCCATTTATATTAAATGTCCACAATAGGCAAATCCATAGAGACAGAGAGTAAATTAGTGGTTGCCAGTGGCTGAGGGGAGGGGAAATGGGAAGTGGCAGCTAAAGAGTAGGGGCTTTTTTAGGGTAATACAATTAGATTGTAAAGATGGTTGTGCAACTCTGCGTATTACTAAGAACCAATGAATAGCACCCTTTATTTATTTTTTATCTGAGAGAGAGAATGAGTGGGGCGGGGAGAGAGGGAGAAGGGGAAGCAGGTGCAGGGGGTTGGGGCAGAGGGAGAGGGAGAAGATGAGTCCCTGCTGAGCAGGGAGCCCAATGCAGGGCTCGAGCTCAGGACCCTGAGATCATGACCCGAGCCGAAGGCAGACGTTTAACCAACTGAACCACCCAGGCCCCCCTGAATAGTAGTACACTTTAAATGGGTAGATTTTATGGTATGTGATTTACACCTCAATAAAGATAAAAAAAAAAAAAAAAGAATAGATTCTCTTGTCCTGCTATTTTGAAGTCTAGAACGAAACTTTTAAAGAATTCACTTTACTTTCTAAAACGATAAAAACAACTGAGACACATTTAGAGAAATAAATGTATGAACTTTACCTTAAATTACACGAAAGTTGCTAAAATTTCACAAAGTTCACTTAAGGTTTTCACTTTATTTTCATCCAAGACATACAAAAATGGCCAATTCAAACACAGTCTTCAATTTTGTGAACTTTAGAGGATTTAGTCACAGGGATAATGATTTAGCTCCATCATGAGCTGGCATGCATTGTGTAGTGGGGATGCAAATGAATTTATATCCAGAGGTGATATTCAAAAGAGTTTAAAACTGGATAAGTCAGGCACTGAGTAAACAGAATGGATGCCAGCCAGAGGTCCCTGAGTTGCTGGAATTCGAAGGAGTTTGAGGATCCAGGAGGAAGGGCCAGGTAAATGGAAAGGTATGGATTTAGGAATGAGGGTACTTTGAAGCTCCAGTTTTTAAAAAGTGATACAGAAGATTTCAATAGTTTAAAAACTGGCTAGAGCTGTTCCAGGGCATACCTGTCTACCTTATCTCTGGTATGCCATCAGAACACTCACCCAGCTCTCCAACTGCGGCCTTTAAGTGTAGAGATGATGTCTTCTACTCTTGACATTTTACAGAGAAGAAAACCAAGGTTGAGGAAAGGTGAGTGGCTTGCCCACCATGCATGAATAGTCACAGAGTCAGGAGAATCCTCATCTCCAAAATCTCAATCCAGAACATACATGCTAGGGAAAAAAGGACAAATCATCCTCACACCAAATTAACTTGTCCATTTATATTTTTTAACCATTTCTAAAGCAGAGTTGCAATTTGTTTTCTAGTTATGTGTACAGAGAAAGCATATATATATTCATTATGGGAAAACAAAGGGACAGTGAGTCCAGACTTCTGGGTAATTATTTTTAAATTATGTTAATGGAAAGCATCATGATATACATGCAGCATCTCCCAACAGAATCTGCACATCATAGCCAAAGCAAACTTGAAGAGAATAAATCAAAGGCATTTAAGATAAAATACAGAACTTTTGTCTTCATAGGTATTAGAAAGAAAAGAAACAAGAAATGATAAACAAAAATGATCGTACTCACCTTGAGTGTGAGCTACAGGACGACTTTTGGGATGTTTAGGGTTTTGTGAATATTGAGGGAGAGATGAGTATATTCATTCATTCCTATTTTAATAATTACTGATATTTGAATGGCCCTTTACAGTTTTAGACGTGCTTTCCAAATATAAATAAATAAATAAATATGCTTTCCTAAACATGTAGTAGAAGACTATTGATATAGGACATATTTTGCAATATACTGCTAAGTGGAAATATAGGCTATGAAAATATGTATGCACAGTTAAAATGCTATTTTTTTTGTATAAAAGGAAGTGTGTGCTGTATGTATACATGCATACATATAAAAAAGATTGAAAATATACTGAAATATTATCTGTTCTCCCTGGTTGGTACAATTATGGGTTCTTGTTTGGTGTTTTCCTTTGTCTTTCTGTTCTCTAGGTTTCTAGCAATGGACACATACACTTTTGTAATTAAGAAAAAAACTTGGGGTGCATGGGTGGCTCAGTGGGTTAAACATCTGCCTTGGGCTCAGGTCATGATCCCAGGATCCTGGGATTGAGCCCTGCATCAGGCTCCCTGCTCAGTGGGGAGCCTCCTTCTCCCTCTCCCCCTGCTGCTCCCCCTGCTTGTGCTCACACGCTCTCTCTCTCTCTGTCAAATAAATAAATAAAATCTTAAAAAAAAAAATAAAAGTGCTTCCATGTATATTTTATATTCATTGAGCCTCATAACAGTCATGCAACATATAACACCTCATTTTATATAAGAGGATATTGAGTCTCAGGGGTGTGTGGGTGGTGCAGTCGGTTAAGCCTCAGACTCTTTCTTTGGCTCAGGTCATGATCTCAGGATCTTGAGTTCAAGCCGCACGTTGGGCTCCGCGCTGGGCGGGGAGTCTGCTTAAGACTCTATCTCCCTCTCCCTCTGCCCCTCCACCCCATTCTCTCCCTCTCTAAAATAAATAAATAAATCTTAGGGGGAAAAAAAGAGGATATTGAGTCTCAGAAGAACTAAGCAGACAGGTAGCAAGTACCAGAGCTTGGGTTTTCATCCAGGCCATTTGACTCTAAATCTTATGTTCTTTCCTCTACATTATAATGCTCAATTTTTTGAGTTGGCTCATGTGATGACTCACTGTGGCTCATTCTGGGCTATCTTTATGTTATCCTTGCTGTAGAGCACCATCCACTCATTTGTACCTGTTAGTCATCCTACGGAAAGGGGTTGTCCAATTAAAATGGAGCTGTTCTAGAAGTGGCAGCAATTGAAGCAATTAACTTCCCACAACATATTTCTGCAGCTTTTTTCATTTGAGTAGCCATTATTTCAAAGCAGTACACTGCACACAGCTCTTAGATCTTACACGCTTCCTGGACTCTCTCCTCCACTCTGTCCTCTTTATCCATATCCAATTTCCACTCCTATCAGTTTTTCAAGGTATGCATTTTTCTGTGATCTTTTCCTTAAAAGCTATTTCTTGCTTCCTAATAGGCCCTGTTCTACTGTGAAAAAGGAAAGAGAACTGTGGGAAAGTAAAGCCATGGAGCTAAATGGGACCACAGACTCTGCTGGAAGCTCTGAAAATCTAGCCTATTACCCCATCACCTCACAACGAGCTCCAAAAGCTGCTGCTGATTTTCTGGGCATGGAAAGAGTTCCCAATCAATTGAAAAGTCTTTGCCTTAGGATTTCCTGAATACTGTTTCATTCTTTGACTTTTCACACAAATTTTGCAGCATCAGGTAAATGTTCTGAACAAGTGACATTGTCCAGATTGGGAAGAGGTAGAGTGGAAGTTCTATAACCCTTTTCGAGATACATAGAGAAGTTATGGATTAAGCTGAAATATTCTGGATTTTGTGTACCTTGCCAGATGAAACTCTACTTTCATCCTTCAGAGCTGAACTGTGTTGTTTTGGGCCCAAGGATGATGGTTTTCAGGTGTTTCTTTCTTCATTCTGCTTTTTTAAAACACTGCATATCTTCAGCCAGAGGAGAAGTTGCTGATGTCTAAGTAATGTGACCCACATTACTCGACCCTCGACCTCAGAGGCAGCTCACAGACACCTTGAGTAGGACTCAGCACTTCCAGACTCAACAAGGACAAATTTAACTTCCCAAGACATTATTGTAGATTTCATGGAGCGATGCATGAAAGGGTTATAATCAAGTACCACATGGCAAACTTTAATAGAAGCTCCTATTAAACATCTCAGTTCTCCCCCTCCCCAAAAGTTCCCCTTGGCAATCTCTTCTCCCTTTAATCTTTTCCTCACATAATCTCTAAATTTTCCCTGGTTCTAGATTTCACAGCATTGTCTCTTGTCCCTGCCCTCCCCCTCTACTTCCTGCAAAAAAATAATAAAAATTTTCTTTCTTTTTTTTTTTTTTAAAGATTTTATTTATTTATTTGAGACAGAGAGAGTGAGAGAGAGAGAGCACATGAGAGGGGGGAGGGTCAGAGGGAGAAGCAGGCTCCCTGCCGAGCAGGGAGCCCGATGTGGGACTCGATCCCGGGACTCCAGGATCATGACCTGAGCCGAAGGCAGTCGCTTAACCAACTGAGCCACCCAGGCGCCCAAAATTTTCTAATGCAGAACAATTTTAGTGAACTCTCTTAATCTTGCACCCTCACATCCATCACTTTGTTCACCAAACAAAGAACTTTCTTTGGAATCAGTTGGGTATTATAAATTGCAAGTAATTTTTCTCTGCCACAAGTAATTTTTCTCTTGTCAAGTGTTGGTCATCACTAATTATTAGGGAAATGCAACTCAAAACTGCAATATTACCTCACGCTCCTAAGAATGGCTATCATCAAAAAGACAAGAAATAACAGATGCTGGCGAGGATGTGGAGAAAAGAGAACTTTTGTGCACTGTTGGTGGGAATATAGATTGGTACAGCCATTAAGAAAAACAATAAGCGGGTGCCTGGGTGGCTCAGTCGGTTAAGCGGCTGCCTTCAGCCCAGGTCACGATCCCAGAGTCCTGGGATCGAGTCCCACATCGGGCTCCTTCCTTGGCAGGGAACCTGCTTCTCCCTCTCTCTCCCTCTGCTTGTGCTCTCTCTGTCAAATAAATAAAATCTTTAAAAAAAAAAATAAGCATGTTCCTCAAAAAAATTAAAAATTTGGGGAGGGGGAGGATGAGTGAAATAAGTGAAGGGGATTAAGAGGTACAAATTTCCAGTTATAAAATAAATAATATGGAGATGAAAAGCATAGTATAGGGAATATAGTCAATAATATTGTAATAATGTTTTATGGTGACAGATGGTAAATACACTTATGGTGAGCACAGCTTAATGTGTATGGAACTGTTAAGTCACTATGTTGTACACCTGAAATTAATATAACATGGTATGTCAACAATACTTCAATAATAAAAATTTTTCTTAAAAATTAAAAATGGAACCCTCAAATGACCCAGCAGTTCTACTTCTGAGTATATATCCAAAGAAAATGAAATCAGTAACTCAAAGAATTATCTTCACTCCACACCCCCCACCATGTTCACTGCAACATTATTGATAATAGCCAAGATATGGAAAAAATCTAAGTGCCCATCAACAGATGAATGGTTAGAAAAAAAATTGTAGTATATATACACAATGGAAAACTATTAAGCTATTTTAAAAAAAGAAGAAAATCTTGCAATAACATGGAGAAAACTTGAGGGCATTATGCTAGCTGAAATAAGTTAGAAAAAGACAAATACTGTATGATCTCACATATATGTGGAATACCCCGAGTTCCCTGTCTCTATGAATGGCTCCATTATCCACTCAGTTGCCTGAGCCAGAAAACTGAACAGCATCCTTGACACTCCCTCTTCCATACCCAACACCCAACCCTTCAATCATCAGGCCCAGTGGAAACTAATTCCCCATTACCTCTGGCCACATCTCACTATACATCCCTGAACTTGGGAACCCCCATGTCTTAGAACACTCTAATAGCCTTCTCCTCTGGTTCCCCACTCTGTTCCTCTTCATTCCATTCTCCACCCTACAGCCAGAGTGGCTTTTAAAAACAGAAATCTGATTGTTTTACCCTGCTGTTTCCCATGGCTCTTAAGTTAAAATCTATACTCCTTAAGATAGCTTACAAGGTTTCTCTAATTTGCACTCTACACCCCAGAGTTAATACATTTTTTTTTTCCAATTCTTCAAGAGAGCCATGGTCTCTCTCACTCACAGGCTTTTACATATTCAAGTCCCATTTCCTGAACACTCCTACTTCCTTACTTTTGCTTTGCTAACATTCAGAAGCTTTTCTTGACTCCCTCCCCCTCCCCCCACACACACCTAGTTATCATAATGCTCACTAATTACTTATTGCCTGTCTTTCCACTAGACTACACAGTCCATGAGGCAGGTACATGCCTATTTTTACAGTTCTATTCCAGCACCTAGCACATTGCTTTGCATATAGGAGAAGTTCCACAGATATTTCTAGTATAATGAATAAAAAATTAAATATTGCTTTGCACTAGCAGCAATATCAGTATCGTAAGCCTACTTTACCTGCACGCAGTGTAAGCTAATTACTCAATCCAGAAAAAGTATGCTAATTCTGTTTTCTTTTTATAAACCTATCTTTAAGCAGTGGAACTCTTTTTTCAAATAAAATATGTGTTAGAGCCCAAT